AGAAGGTAAGTTCAAAGTGAGAGAACAGCCGCATTTGTCTTTCTGACCTGATACAATTCCTACAGAACTCTGTTCTGGGATTTAATCAGGCAATAAAATGCTCTCCCTCTTTCTCTGCCTCTTTATTTCTTCTTTTTTTTGATTTGGAGTCTCACTCTGTCGCCCAGTCTGGAGTGCAGTGGCCGCTCCCGGCCACCGCAGCCTCGACCTGCTGAGCTCCGGCGATCCTTCCGCCTCAGCCTTCCAAGTAGCCAGAATTACAGGCATGCGCTACCGCGCCCGGCTGATTTTTTGATTTATTGTAGAGATGAGGTCTTGCTGTCCAGGCGAGTCTCGAACCCACAGGCTCAGGCAATCCACTCACCTCAGCCTCCCAAAGGCGTGGGATTACAGGCTGAGCCACCGAGCCCAGCTTCTTTATTTCTTAAGTGCAGGCTGCTCATGAAATCTATATGTAATATAATATCAGAGAGTTTGAAAGATGAAGTCACTAATTTGAACACCTACTATTTGACAAGGATGCTCCCGTGAGTAAGAAAGATTCAATCCCAGACCTCATGGAATCTATAGACTAATACAGTTTGAGTATCCCTTATCCAAAATGCTTAGGACCAGAAGTATTTTAGATATTGGATTTTTTTGGATTTGGAATGTTTGCATCATACCTGAAATGCCAGTTGAGCATTCCAGATCCCAAAATTACAAATCCAAGTTGGGATGGTGGTGTGTGGCTGTAGTCCCAGCTACTTGGGAAGCTGAAGTAGAAGGATCACTAGATCCCATGAGTTTGAGGCTGTAGTGCACTATAATCTTACCTGTGGATAGTCACTGGACTCTAACCTGGGCAATAGAGTGAGATCCAGTCTCTAAAGTGTGTGTGTGTGTGTGTGTGTGTGTGTGTGTGTGTGTGTGTGTGTGTGTGTGTGTGTGTAAAGTTCGAAATGTCCCATTTAGCATTTCCTTTGAGTATCATGTCATGTTAGCATTCACATTCACATTGTTTCAGATTTGGGGAGCATTTCTGATTTTGGATTTTCAGATTCTCAGAGTGTTTCTCAATGGTGAACTTTTGTCATTTAGGGCATGGCAATTCTGTTGATATACAGAATGATCCTGCTTATTGCTGTCCCTTTCCCAATAAATAGCTATAGGCCCAGTAAGTATAGGATCATTATGATAATCAAAAATCTCTCATACATTTTCAAATTCTCCCTAGAGGGAGGAGAGGGTCAATACCATCCCTGCTGAGAACCAGTGGTTTCATAGGAAGTTCAATTTTTTTTTCGAGTCCGAGTCTCACTGTGTCACTCAGTCTGGAGCACAGTGGAACAAACACCAGTCTCAACCTCCTGGGCTCAAGTGATGGACCTCCTTCCTAAGTCTCCTGACTAGCTGGGATTACAGGTGCATGCCACCACACTTAGCTAATTTTGTTTTTTGTAGAGATGAAGTCTCACTCTCTTGCTCAGGCTGGTCTCGAACTCCTGGCCTCAAGCAGTCTTCCTATCTCGGCATCCCAAAGTGTTGGGATTATGGGCATGAGCCACCATGCCCAGTAGGAGGTATACATTAAAAGATTCACCCTAATTCTGTTTTTTTTTTTTAATACTTTTTTTTTTTTTTTTTTTGAGTGGGAGTCTCACTCTGTTGACCTGCTGGGCTCCAGCAATCCTTCTGCCTCAGCCTTCCAAGTAGCTGGAACTACAGGCATGCACTACCATGCCTGGCTTTTTTTTTTTTTTTTGTAGAGATGAGGTCTCACCAAGTTGCCCAGGCAATCCACTCGCCTTGGCCTCCCAAAGTGCTGGGATTACAGGCTGAGCCACCGAGCCTGGCCTCTTTAATACACTTTAAATCATTTTTGGTCGTTGCCTCCTAGGCTGTTTTTACACACGTAAGCTTTCTGTTTATACAGAAAGTGTACATAAGGTGGCAGGTATTATTGAGACCATACTGGTCCCTAGCTTCCTGTCAGAACGGGGGAAAACTTCAGCCCAGAAGGCAAGATGCCTGAGTAATGCCCACAGATGCAGATGATTTTAGGACAGAAAAGTATGTTTCATCTTATTGAGGTCCTGAGACCATTTTGAAGCAGGCTATAAAACATAGGCGGAAACTTGTTTGTGAATTCCAGAGGCTATTAGGAGTACACCCTGAAGGAGTTTGACTTTCTTGTCCCCAAACTTCTATTACTCCCTGTGCTATTCAGTTGGATTTGAATTCTCCATATTCTTCTCCCTGTTAAAAGAATGCTCCAAATAGAAAATTCAGTTAAAGCCAGTGGAATTGGGCACTTTTGTGTCAGGAATGCTTTTGGCTATAAGAAACCATTTGAGGCCAGGCATGGTGGGAGGGTTGCTTGAGGCCAGGAGTTTGAGATCAGCCTGGATAATAAGAGACCCTGTTTCCACTAAAAAGAAAGAAAGAAAGAAACATCTTAGTGGGGGCTCGGTGGCTCAGCCTGTAATCCCGCGTCTTTGGGAGGCTGAGGTGAGTGGATTGCCTGAGCCCACGGGTTCGAGACCCTCCTGGGCAGCGAGACCTCATCTCTACAATAAATCAAAAAAATCAGCCGGGCGTGGTAGCGCATGCCTGTAATTCCTGCTCCTCCGAAGGCTGAGGCGAAAGGATTGCTGGAGCCCAGCAGGTCAAGGCTGCAGTGACTGGGAGCGGCCACTGCACTGAACTCCAGTCTGGGTGAGAGTGAGACTCCAACTCAAAAAAACAAAAAAGAAAGAAAGAAAAAAAGAAACATCTTAATTGTAGCCCTTTTTTTTTTTGTTTGCGTCTCACTCTTGCCCAGGCTGGAGCGCAGTGGCACACTCACAGCCACTGCAGCCTTGACCTGCTGGATTCAGGTGATCCTTCTGCCTCAGCCTTCCAAGTAGTTGGAACCACAGGCATGTGCCACCACACTCAACTGATTTTTTTGATTTATTGTAGAGACATGGTATCTCCAAGTTAACCCAGGCTGGTTTCAAACTCCTGAACTCAGGCAATCCTTTTGCCTCCTCCTCCCCCCCAAAGAAAAAAGAAAGAAGAAAAAGGAACAGCTTGACAGTAGCTTGATAAATACAAAATTTATTTTTCATCATATAAGAAGTTTAGCCATGGGAAAGTGTGACCCATTGTAGCTGGGGTTTCTGTGAATCTCTTGGCCTTCTCTCTTAAGGTTTAAATATGCAGCTCTAGTCATCATATTTATGTTGAAGACAAGAGGGAAAGATACATCTCATTGATTAGAAGTAGACCACATGATCATCTCTAGCTGCAAGGCAGACGGGGGAGGGGGGAAATAGGATAACTTTGATTGGCTTATGTTAGGATCTTATTGCTCATACCACTGAGCTGGACCCCAACAAAAAGCTGATTGTCTTTTTTAAAGTTATTTTGCAAATTGCTTTTTCGTTTTGTTTTTTGTTTTTTTTAATTGAAGTCTCACTCTGTCACCCATTCTGGAGTGCAGTGGCATGCTCATGGCCACCACAGCCTCAACCAGCTGGGTGCAAGTGATCCTCCTGCCTCAGCCTTTCAAGCAGCTAGAATTACAGGCATGTGCCACCAAGCCCAGCTAATTTTTTTTTTTTTTTTTTTATTGTAGAGACGAGGTCTCGTGAAGTTGGCCAGGCTGGTCCCAAACCCATGGGCTCAGGCAATTCTCTCACTTCAGCCTCCCAGAGTGAGCCACCATGCCCGGCTGCAAATTGCTTTTCTTTTTTTTTCTTTTTTGAGTTGGAGTCTCACTCTGTCGCCCAGACTGGAGTGCA